GTTCTGAACACCAGACCGACCCACAGCTGGTTCTGATCGACAGACCGACCCACAGCTGGTTCTGTTAACCAGACCGACCCACAGCTGGTTCTGATCGACAGACCGACCCACAGCTGGTTCTGTTAACCAGACCGACCCACAGCTGGTTCTGATCGACAGACCGACCCACAGCTGGTTCTGTTAACCAGACCGACCCACAGCTGGTTCTGATCGACAGACCGACCCACAGCTGGTTCTGTTAACCAGACTGACCCACAAGCCGGTTCTGAACAATAGACTGACTCACAGCTGGTTCTGTTAACCAGACCGACCCACAGCTGGTTCTGTTCAACAGACCGACCCACAGCTGGTTCTGTTCTGTTCTGGGCGGGTCCAGTTCGCCTCTGACAGCCCAGCATGCTAGCTGCTGTTAGCTGAGCTGCTCCAGTGTTGATCTGCGGTCCAAACCCCGCTGGTTCTGGACGGGTTCGCTCAGCAGCAGGTTCGGCTTACCGTCAGTCACAGTCCGGCGGTCCCGGAGCGGCTGAACTGGACCGGGACAGCTGAATAAAGTGGGTGAAAGGGCACCGGGACTTAAAGGAACTTAATCCGGTTACTAAAGGTCAACCCGACTGATCAATAACTAATCATCTATTAACCCACGCGGTGGCGCGCGCCCCCCCACACACGTCACGTAATAAAGCATGTATTAATTAAAACTAGTAGCGGTTCAGTGGCTTCAGACATGATTATTAAAGGATGTTGCTGGTCGGACCCTAATAGGTGACGGACCGGCTCATGCCTCAACTCAAAGCACTTCCACCAGAACTCACGTGATCCAACTTTAAACTCTTCACTAGTAATAACGTGCCAAACACGGGGGGCGGCGTATCAAAGGAAGAGTGGCTCACCTGCGTGTGACGTCAATTCTGGTGGGCCTTTGAAGGTCTCCGCTGAGTGTCCGCTCACCTGGCCGCTCCGAGCCGCCTTTATGCTGCCGATGACGGACAGCGCAGCCTGGACACATCAACACAGCCGCCTGCCGTCCAATCACAGCTCACACACCACAGACAGCTGGCCAATCACAGCGCGCCCTCAGCAACCACGCACGCTCCGCGGAAAGCAAGGCCGTCCAATGGCGGCGCTTGTACGATGTCTGGTGAGAGAAAAGCAACCAATGAGGTTGGAGGAGAGGCTGATGGCGCCGCAGTGGTCCGCGTGTCAGAGCGTTTCCATGGAAACGCGGAAAACATCAGAGGGTCTGAACGAGGCTCTGTCCGAATATCAGCCATTTTTATCCCCGATCCAAACTCAGCTGCTGGGTTAAAGATGAGGAGGAGTTCCCCAAAGATCGGACCTCCTAACGGGGTAGAGAGCAGCCAGGTCCCCCCTGAAGGATCCAACATATACCTGAATCTAGGTTCATAGGTCTAGGGGGGCTCATTCTACTTACATTTTCTAAACTTGCTCAGTGCCTTTTGCCAGTAACCGACCCGTAATCATTCACCAACACATCTGATCTGACACGCTTCTGTTTTGTCTTCCTGTTTTTCTCTTCTTGCACGAGCTGTAGTGAAACTCACCTGTCTTTTCCTCACCTTAAACCTTCCCCTAATACACCTCTCTCTCTCTGCCAATCCTAACATCCATTCTATTTAACAAGCTAAATATCTACAGCTATGCTGGAAAGTTCAGACACACTCCTGATAAAGAAAATGATAAATGCACAACAGTAATTCTAATATGAAACTGAAAAAATATAAATAAAAAAATACAAAATTATACAAAACAATTGATTTCCAATTATGAATTTTAAAAAATGGATAAAAAAAGGTCCAAGACACATTAGAGCTCCTGAACTTTTCACCAACCATCAACAGGAGCAGAAATCTGATGGAACATTTAAGAAAACACCTGATTGCAGTGATTCCATCAAAGTGTTGCTCAACATTTTAGTTTTTTTTGTTTGTTTATTATTAATATTTCTGTTAAACCAAAATGCAAAATTAATGGCACCATTTCATTGAATTTTTACTTTATCACTGGGAGCTGATTTTTTTTCCATCTTTAATGGGAAAGTATGCATACTTTTTTATAAGATTTGTATTTTTTAATCCAAGTGCTATATAGTTTTTAGATATATTAATATTATTATATATATTATATTAAGTATGTTTTTGTACCACCAAAAACACAGAACATTTACATTTAAAGTTCTGCAGCAAAACATTTATTTTACTAGTTTATTTGTTTCTCAGGTCATATTTTTGGAGAGAAAACCTTCCAAACCTCCACAGCTTTATCCAGAGCTAGAACTAACCAGAAATAAAGTCTGAACTTTCCATCCTTCTGTTGAAGATCCTCCGTCATCCAGGTCACAGCCAATCCAAAAAAAGTTAAAAACAATCCACCGGACTTTGTTTCCAAGTTTTCAAATTTGGAAACAAAGTCCAGGGGATTGTTTTTTTTACTTTTTTTGGGACATCCTTATTCACTTCTGTTCTAATTAGTCATAAAAATGAGGCGGCTAGCAAGCTGCTGACAGGGACTGATTTTATTTTGTTTATTGGTGTAGTTCCTGCTGAAGGGAACAAACTGGTGTCTTTTAATGGTTAAAACTTCTGAGCTCAAACTGGGATCCGTCCAGTTTCAAACTGTATCAGAATGTATTATCAGCGGCTGATTGTGAGGAGAAATGTAAAATAGATCCAGCATGGCTGCTGCTGTGGACTAGAGGACCGGGTCCCTCCAAGAAGACAAACTGTCCCCGTATCTGATACAAACAGGACGAAATGTTCAGGAAGTCACACTGTTAATAATTAAAGGTCAACAGAAGAAGTTTTTATGAACTCTGTGGCGTAAGAAGGCCTTTCAGAGACGGAAAAAAATGGAGGTAAATTTGTTTGTAAATTTAGAGATTTATTCTATCACTAATTTTTCCTTTAAAAGCTTCCATGAGGCGATTTTACCGCCTCATTCCATCGATAAACACCCCGTGTTAAACTCTACCATGTGTTTTAGTCTCGCATTGCTCCACAAATGTTTAAATCTTGCAAATCTGCTACTTTTTTCCTCCTGTTTTTTCTTATTAATTTGCTACTTTTTTAATCTGTTTTAATCTCGTAAATGTGTGCCTTTATTCCCGTTTTCTCTTTAAACTCAGATATTTAAATTCCATTTTTAATTGTCTTTGAATGGTCCTGTTAGCCGCAGGAGAAAAGATGAAGACATCTTTGAAGAACCAGGAGAGAATAGGAGCAGACTGGTCCCAGTGCAGCTTTCTGATTGGCCTGATCCACAGGTGGCCTGCTGTGGGCGGGGCCAGAAGACTCACCTGACAGGCAGACCAGAGCAGGGTGTGAAGGGAGGAGTGCGGTCTGAACAGGGACCAGTTTAACCATCTACTCTTTAGGTCCAGTTTGATGAAAAGGTTAGAGTCAACCTGTACCTGCAGGTGAGGAAGGAGCAGCAGGTTGGAGCAGCAGGGAGACATTAACCGGGGACACGGTCCTGCTGGGGGACAATGTCCAGCCGCTGATTTCCCAGCTAGCAGCTCAGCAGCCTGAGGACCACATCAGGTCCTGCTGGATCATCAGAGGTTCCTTCTAAGCTCCTTTTGGTTAATAGTTCAGATTAGAGTCACTGTGGAAAGTCACAGACACTGATAACACCAAACCAAAACAAGGCGTAGTTGCAATGTTTAGGGTATTTATGTTATAATATTAAATCTATAGATCATATTATATGTAATTTCATGCTCTGAACGTCCATATCAGTGCATTTACTTCACATTGTTTATATTTGGTCACTGCTGCACTTTATGGAATGAAATGTTCATTTAGTGTCTGAAAAGCTGTACTAAATTAAACTTTGTTTTCTCTTTACAAAATAACAATAAAAGTCGTCTAAGTAACAATTTCAGCAAATAAAAACACTAAATTATACTAGAATGAAGTTCTATATATCTAGAAATGTTTAAACACTTTAAATAGCCCTTCTGACATTACTCAGATTGACTGATTATGTATTTATGATATCTGAAATCTATTTCTTCATAGTGTAAATAATACAAATGCTGACCACTATAGGAATATGGAGATCTGAAATTCATTTCTAGACATCCAGATTCTTTATTCTAGATGTGAAGAATATAATTTTGTTTGAAATGGTCGTTTAAACAAAGAATGTTTTTTTTAACAAATCAGGAATAGATATTCAGCAGGTGAAGATAAAGTCTAAAAATGTTTTTCTAACAGATAGAACCTGTTCATCATCTCATGGGTTTCATTCCGTCTTTTACACAGTAAATCTCAGAGTCAATCCTAATCCTAAAGTAATCCCTTTTTTCCCGTGGAATTAATTAATCTATTTATGTGTAATTTGAAAATAATGTCAGTAGTTCCACATGTACTTAAATATAAATAAAAATAAAATGATCTGCATGTCTTTAAGGAGAGCGGAGATAGAGGACACTGAGTTTACTGAAGGAAACCTGCTGCTGCCCAGGTTAGCGCTGGGAGGATGTTACTATGGCAACAGAAACAGGATGAGGAAACTGTCTTTGTGAAACGGAAAAGTCAGAGTTTCCGTTTTCAGGTTTAGAAAACTTTCCTTCTAAAACAGACCCTGGTTCTGCTGGAGGTTTCTTCCTGTTCAAAGGGAGTTTTTCCTCTCCACTGTCGCTGCAAGCATGTTTAGTGTGAGTTTAAGTGAGACTCATGATGGCTTCTTGGTGACGCGTCACAGTTAAAAAAACCTCTCAGCCAGCAGCAGCTCTGTTGGTGGATCGATGACGCCACAAAAGACTTAAAGGAAAAGTCAGCTGAGCAAAAATAACCAATGGATCATTATTTATACCTGAAACTAATACGTTCAGTGTGATTTAATCAATTTAGTGTTAATCAGCAAAGAAAAATAATAATTTATGGTGATCACTGAGTCTGGGAGCGGCCATTTTTTCCCAAATCTAGTAGCCCCTCCCTCCTGCCATCTTCCAGCAGTGACGTCACGGTGCGGTAAGCCTAGCGCCATTCTCCCCGCTTTCCAAGCTAAATCAATGGGAACTACTAGACACATCTGCAATCAACAACAATTATTGAAGATTTCCAGAGGACTTCACCATTGAAATTCACCAGAGCTATAGTGAAACTGACAATGCCCACGTGCATGGCAGCTGGATGCTGGAATACATCGGGTAAAAGTGGAAAAAAGAGTTATTCCACCTTTCTGATTCCTGATCCTCCACGGACGGGTTGGTCGTTGGATCGCCAACTTGAAGAGGGAGGATTTGCCATCGAACTTCTGGGCAGAGAAAAAACCCGTAATATGTAGCCAACATTTGGAAGAAGAATGTTTTCAAGATGACTTGGATAATAGCGCGTTGTGACAAACACCAGATACAGCACTGGGACTTGATCAACAGCCGATACCGCACCGTGACAATGTCACTAACCAGTAGGTGGCAGTAGTGTTCTTTGACAAACATGGATGCCTCCAGTAAAGCACATTCACATGAAAATTACTCTGAATTAAAAACACTGATCATTTATTGAACAGGATGGAATCATTTCAGATTTAAAGAACTTTCAGAAGTTTGAATTCTGAATATGAGCGACTTTTCCTTTAATAATCTCTTCTCTTAGTTAAAAAGAGTTTTTTCTAGTATTTTTAATCCATTATTAGTAAATCGATAAAGAATTGAAGCTTAGAGGCTGTTTTGCTCTATGGGTGGATAATGAATCTAAGGGATTATTGAGAGACATGAAGGATCCTGAGTGGGAGGATCCTGAGTGGAACCAGCATCTGCCTATAAATCTTTCACTTCTGTTGCTGAGGTTTTATCTACTTTTGATTTAGAAACCGGAACTTTCCTTTAAAAACCAGTGTTTTATTGAGATTTTCGTCTGCTGGATCAGACAGGAGACTCTCCTAATAAACTACGGTGGTTTCTGGTTCTATTCTTTTACTCACAAAAATAAATACAAATCCCTCCAGAGGGCTTAGAAACACCTGATAAAAACATTTACAGGAGTCATTTCCACTATGAGATAAAACATGAGTGAAGTATTGTTGAATGATGGATGATCATTTTATCACAGGAACTTTAATGAAAGAATAAACAGGTTGAGACAGAAGTAGTGATGATCTTTAAGTTGAAACCAGGAATAAAACCTTAAACCAACCAGAATAAAGTTCAGTGCAGTAAACCAACAGCAGATCCGGCCTGGATCCACGGAACAGAGAACGTCCTGAGAGCAGCCATGGCGAGGTAAACCCTGGAGGAGGAGGCTTCAGGTGAAACGTGTGCAACATTAGCAATGGGGAAGTTGTCATCCACAGCAGGGATCCCAGCTCTGCCTGCTAGTGGTTCCCAGACGTCCCCTCCCACAGCTGGAGCAGCTGGCCGCCAGCCTGCGGCTCCAGCTCCTACACACACAGACACGCTGCTGTTCAGTGGGCTCCCTCTGTCAGCTCGCTGAGCTTCGGCCGCTCCCACCATAGACTCACCTGTCCGTCCCTGCTGACCTGAACTCGCTTGTTGTCGTTCCAGGGGTTGAGGATGTGTTGCGTGCGGGAGAAGGGCAGACTCTCCTTACGGATCCACTCCACGCTGAACAGCCCCCCCAGGCCCGTCAGGCCCCAGTCCTGACAGCTGTCCTGGCTGACCACGGATGTCATGCGAGCGTAGCCCTGGAAACGTGGGGCGCGTTAGGAAACAGAGGCACCTGTTCTGGAAAGCTCAGAGTTAGAAGGTCGATACCTGGAAGTGTCCGGATCCCTGCACCGAGAAGACCAGGAGGACCAGGCTGTTGGCCAAGAAGGCCTGGCTGAGTTTGCTCTCGTTGCTTGGTGTGGTGGACCAGATGCCTTTCTCCTGAGAGATCTCTACGTTCCTCATGCTGTTGCTCTTCATGATGAAGTATCGCACGGATGAAAGCATGGCCCTCTGGAGCCCAGGCTTGGGGGCCGGCTGTGTTTTAATAAGCATGTAGAGAAAGGCAGGCTGGTTTAAACTGAGAGGACAACCGCAGCTGCTGTGGTTTCAGAGAAAACAACGACTGAATTTAGAAAATTAACCATGAAGCTCACACACTCTAAATAAGAATAAAGCCCCATGTGGACATTAGCTGCACTGGAAAACCATCTAGAAATAAGTCATTTAGCCTTAATCTGAGCAGGTGAATAAGATGCTCTGGCAGTGGAATTAGTGTTTTTATCCTAAAATAAGATAACTAGATGAGCTGACGTTAGCCCTGGCTGCTGTAGACGGGCTCACTTTAGCCCTGGCCGCTGCAGACGAGCTAACGTTAGCCCTGGCTGCTGTAGACGGGCTCACTTTAGCCCTGGCCGCCGCAGACGGGCTGACGTTAGCCCTGGCTGCTGTAGACGGGCTGACGTTAGCCCTGGCTAACGCAGTGCATGCTGGGACAACTGTCGGTCTGGAGAACGGACAAGTCTGCTCTGATGCATGCTGGGTAAAGAGGGAGGGGCCAGAACATTGTCCGTTCTTGGTCTGCTGCTCTTGTGAAATGGAACAGGGCTGAGGTTGATGACGTTTCACGAGGACACAGGTACACAGATTGAGAAACGGCCCTGGTGGTTCAGCTAAACCTGAGTTTATGCTGCTGATTATTTTTCTCCTGGGTCAAGCCCGGCGTACACTCTGCGATTTTCGGTGCGATTTTCCAGTCGTGCGAGAATTTTTCGATTGAGCCGACTTTCAGCCTGATTGTGAGTCGTGGTGCACAGGACTTACGAGCTGCGATCAGCCTCTCACGATCACCTACTGATCAGGAATCATGAGGTCGGGAGAAAATCAAAGAGGTTTTATTTTTTTCCGACCGTCGCGGGTAAATCGCTGTGGGCAAACAAGGATTCTTCTTCTTCTTCCTCTCAGAGGAAAACCCAGCAGCATGGCGGGGGGGCAATGAGTGAAATGGAGTTCTTCCTGTCAAACTGACAGACCGTAGTAGCCACGTTAGCTCAGCCATGTCTTTGTCCAAATACGTCGTCTCCTTTTGTTTTTAGGGCTTTCAGCACCAAATTGCCCAAATATCCAAGGCAGCGCGTTTCACTCTAGTGAGCTTCATGTTCCTCTGCTACTGGTTTGGCTTCTGGATGGACGAGTCAGAGTAGCGCCATCTCACTGCGCAGCTGAGTCCCACCTGGTTTATAGACGTACAGTGAGAGCATCAGAGCATCAGGTCGAACATAAATCGTGAGCTGCTGCTAACACTGTACGACTAAACCTCAGGGTTTAGTCGTACAGTGTTAGCAGCAGCTGCGTGCAACGAGTGAAAAAATTGCACAGTGTAGGCCCGGCTTTAGTAAATCCTGGGCAGATCGGGAGGTTCTGGCATTTCTCTGGTTTCCTTCCTTTAGGAACGATCCGTTAATCGATCAGCCTGTTAGTTTAGAAATGTTGGAATGCTATCGTTCCTCTGGACAGCGGCTCCATGTACTGCCGGTACCTTTCCTGAGGATGAAGGGGCCATCGGATCAGAGCCGTCTGGATTCGCTGAGTGGGAGGAAGTGCTGGAGGAGGGGGGGCGGTCTTTGGAGACGCCGTCGCTGCTGTGGGTCTTCATTTGGTCAGAGAACAGCAGCGGTTTGGACCTGTGGGGAAACAATTAGCATAGCTAGCACGCCTTCCAGGACCTCTGACCTGGCAGAATGACAGTCTGATCCGGGCGCCACCAGGTCAAGGGTCAGAGAGGCTTACCTGTCGTTCCTGGAGTGAGCGGGGGCCTGGGGGCTGGTCCTGGAGTTCCTCATGGAGGACCGGGGTCCGTCCTCTGATGACATGGGCCTGGGCCGCTGGCCGACCCCCGCAGGCTGCTGCAGGCCGGCCTCGTGCTCCTCGGCTCCCAGCACCTGGAAGAGGACAGCGTGAGCTCCAGAGGGAAGGGTCAGGCTCAGATGGAAGGCGAGACGTACAGAAACCAGCGTCTGGATGACGGCCTCGTCCTGCTGAGACCACGGCTTGCTGGGACAGCGGATCCTCTTGATGAACAGCTCCTGCCACTTCTGTCTGAGGTCACACAGCAGCGCAGCGTTCTGACCACAGGAGAGAGGAGCAGAGCGCTGAAGTCCTGAGGTTCTGCCTGCTTCATCATCACTAAGACGGCTGATCCGCCGCTCTGCACCTCTCTCTCCAGCTGGAAAACCAGCCAGTCGTCGATCTTCATCTGGGCGAGGTCCTCTGGCTCGCTGTCGCTCAGCTCATTCAGCAGATGATCTGCAGCTTGGAGCAAAGACAGCAAGTAGTTACAGATCAGAGGGAAAGCGAACGACGCTCCTCAGGACTCTGGCTTCCTGTTCTCCTTCAGGTCCGGTAGACAAAAAGAACCAGAACCAGCAGCCCAGTGAGGACAGGAGGCCACTCTGCTCGCTCCGTCCATCCAAAGCCTGCAGAGGTTCACAGCCAGACCAGCTGAAGGCAGCTAATAAAACATGTTTCTAAATACATTTTTTCACAAATGCGTTTTGTTTTATAGCTGTGTAAACAAATAAAATGAGATTTAAAATTCCACCTGACGTGTGTGACTCTGTGGGAGTAATGCAACAGCAGGTA